CCCCAGCGGCAATTCAGCGGGAGGTCCTTCGCTCCGAGCAGGAGTGAGGGACCGTCCACCGAATTGCCGCCGAACAGCTGGACGTGCCACCCCTCTCCGAAGTGGCTGCCCCAAGCACCTGCTTGGTAAGCTGGTGCCTGGAGCTAGCCCTGCGGCAGCTAGAGGGTCTGCACGGGGGTGAGGGGCCAAGCAAACCGGCGAGGAGGGGCATGGTGTAGGGGAGTGGGGTCACGGGGGCAGCCCGAAGGGCAGGGCCGCACTGTAACCGCTTCACACCCCTGCTCTGGGGCGATTCCCGCATGCAGCGGGCTGGAGTCTCGGATGTGACATGAGCAGGGAGCGGACAGTCGGTCCCTACCCTACCGCCCACTCCCCTGCCTGTATAATGGGCCACGAGCCGCTGCCGAGAGATGCTGCTGTTGCCGCATTAGCAAGGGGTGGGGAGTGCTTGGCCGCTGAGCCCTGAGCCGCCGCAGGCGGCCACGGCGATGTTGGGGCCATGCTGAGCGTGGGGCGTGATGGCCGAGGAGCCGGCCCCCTCGCTCCTCCGGACGCGCCCGCCGCCCCCCCCCAATGGCTCCTCCGGCCGTGCTACCCCCCTTTGCCTGCAGGAGCCCAGCGCCGGCCCGGCAGGCCAAGCTTCAGAGCAGAGCGTGGGCCCCGCCCGCTGGTGCCATGGTAACCCCTGACTAAGGCGCCGCTTTTGGAAAATGTGCTGAGGGGAAGCCGCTGCTTCCCCTGCACCCCCCCCCCCCCAGCTACGCTACTGTTGGTGTGTCCTGGTCTGTGGGGGGCTTGCTTCTGATGATAAGCTTGGAGAGATTAGGGGTTGTTTCTGAAGGCCAGAAGTGGGGGTTCAGGAAAGATTTCTTTCAGGATGTGGTTCCTATCAAGTATGCATTTTAGTTGTTTGATATCCCATATGGGTTGCAGTGTAGGGTAGTAGGTGACAACTAAGGGTGTGCGGTCGGTGGGGATTTTATTTCTGTATTGAAGCACGTTTCCTTGGTGTATTTGAGTGCCCCATTCCATGATGCAATCTACTTCTCTGGTGGATGTCCCACTTTGGTGAAGGCAGTTTTGAGTGTGTTAAGGTGCCTGTCCCAGACTTTCTCCGAGCGTATTCTGTGGTATCTGAGTGCCTTCCTCTCTGTACCCTTGGTTGTGGTGGAGCTCTGGTGCCACCTGCTGGTTGTGATTTCACAGCTTGGTGGAAAAACAAATAACTGCAAGGGCGGGGGAAGCAACTCTCTCACTGAGTCCTGGTCTACGCTACCAACTTATGTTGGCATAAAATGCATTCCCTGAGTGACACATTATATCGACCTAGCTCCCGGGCTAGACTGGTTTCTCCTACGGACATAGCTACTGGTTCTCGGGGAGGGGCAGCACCTACGCTGACGGGAGAAGCTCTTTCAGTGGCATAGGTAGTGTCTTCACTAAATGCTGCAGCGCTGTAAGTGTGAGCACCTGCCTGGGATAAATCAATCGCCACAAAACAGCCTTTCACAGAAGAAACAATGAGGAGTCCTTGTGGCACTTTAGAGACTAACACATTTATTTGGGCATAAGCTTTCATGGGCTATACCCCACTTCATCAGATGCATGGAGTAAAAAATACAGTAGGCAGGTATAAATATTCAGCACATGAAAAGATGGGAGTTGCCTTACCAAGTGAGGGGGTCAGTGCTAACGAGGCCAATTCAATCAGGGTGGATGTGGCCCATTCCCAACAGTTGACAAGCAGGTGTGAGTATCAACAGAGGGAAAATTACTTTTTGTAGTGACCCAGCCACTCCCAGTCTTTATTCAGGCCTAATTTGATGGTGTAAAGTTTGCAAATTAATTGCAGCTCTACAGTTTCTCGTTGACGCCTCGTTGTTTTTGTTGATACAGACTAACAGGGCTACCCCTCTGAAACCTTTCACAGAAGAGTAACACTGAGCACGTCACAGCTGTAAAGCATGTCACAAACACTGCATAATGTACACTCCTCACAAAGCTCCTTGGAGAGGAGGTAAATAGCTTAATCTTCACTCTGCAGAGGAATTTGAAACAGGCAGCCACCTGAAGTGTCCTGTCCCAAGCCACATTGTAAGAACCAGAAGTTAAATATTAGTGTTTTGAACTTGTATTACAGAGGATTGGGGCCCCTGTGTGCTGGGTGCAGTACAACACTTGGTGGCTTCGCTTGAGCTTACAAACCAAAATACATAGACCATCTGTTGGGTGGGGAGAAGAATACAACCTGTCTGTATAATTAATGCAGTTATTTGTATACACGTGAGCTTCAATGTTATACAAAATAAGTATCCCTGATAGATCTCCTCCCAGGTAAAAGTACTCACACCCAGGTTTTTAAATAATTCTCTAGTAACACAAAAAGCTCACATCTATAGACTCACAAAATTACAACAGAAACTTAAAGTAACAATTCTTAATAAATAAACCAAAATATTGAATATTTGAGAATAAAACTGTTATAAAGACCAGTTTAAAAGAAAAAGAGTTCAACTGATTCTATTTTTGAACCACAATAGTCTCCCAAAGGGGAGGTGCACCGTTCCTGGAGGTACTGCAATACCAGGTTGATGCATGGAGTGGATGGAACAAGCGCCTATTCCATCTCCCTGTTCCAAAAATCCATTTAATATATAGTCCTCAGATAGAAAACATATCAGATATTAAACTGATAAGAACAGATTTAATTTTTTTTATTAAAGTTAATGTTTAAAATGAAATATACACGAGTTAAGAGGCAAGGTACTGTCCATCTGGGTCAGGCTTGGGTTATGGGGTGTTACAGGTAACATTTGCAAGGATGAAAAGATACATACATTTTGCATAACCTGCATAGACTCAGATTGGGGTGCAAGGGTTTTTAAAGTGTCAGTGGATAGGTGGGTTCAGGTATGCCACCCATGGATTGTATAAGGAGTCCAAGTCAGTATCGGTGTAGCGGATACGTACATGGGTGGGGTTCGTCCCTGGTCCGTCAGGGAAGGAAGTAGGTTATTTCCCTGGTCAGCGGTCTCAGTTACTCAATGTGGTATTGACCGTGTCCTGTGATGTATTCCGTATAAACGTCTCTGGACCACCTGATGGTGTCAGACACCATGAGCTGTCTCATGAGCCGGGCGTAGCGTCGACCGACTCCGCACGCTCCCAGAACCAGCTTGTTGTGGGGGTCCCACGAGCCCAGGGCTCCCACAATCAGGGCGTGTATCTGGACCTCGTAGCCCTGGTCTCTCAGGATCTCAGGGTGTACTTCGATGCCTTCCGTGCTCAGGCCTCGTGGAGGGCCGGTGACTGGTTTTCAAAAGGCACCGTGATGTCTACGATGAGGACCTTCTTCTTTTCTGCATCTGTCACGACGATGTTGGGTCGCAGTCTGCTGTCTGTCCCGGGGATTGCGGAGTCGAGGGTGATCTTCCCCAGGGACAGCGGGATGGCTTTCACCAGCCTGTTCTGGATGGCATTGTGGCGGTACCGCCAGGCTCCGGAGTGCTGTTTGCATCCACACAGGATGTGGGGCAGGGTCTCGTTTGCATAGCTGCACTTCCTGCAGCGCTTGTCTCGGTTGCCGTGGTGGATGGCTCCGTTGAGGGGAATGCAGTTGAGTCGGGCCCTGTGGACGAACCGCCAGTTGGTGAACCTGGTGAAGCTGCCCCTGGGGAGGAAGTGTTTGCTGGCATCCCACTTGCTGGACACCTCGAACACCTTGCCCTTGTCCAGCTTCCACTTGAGGTTCTCGGCCTAGTGGCAGCGGATGGTGTCCTTCAGGGTCTTTTCCAGCATAGCTCTGGCGGTCGGGGTGACGATGGTGTGGTCTGGGGTCTTTAAGCATGGTACCAGTATTCCCAGCTCCCGGCGCTCCTCGCACCACTTCCAGCAGCAGCCGATCCTCTTACCCAGGCATCTTGAGGCGTTGCAGGCGCGGGACCAGAGAGAGGATAGGTCTCCCCCTTCTCTCCCAAACTCAGCCTCCAGGGAGCCACTGAGGTAAGTGGCGATGTCCTGCTCGGAGGGGGACCTGGCGATGCGTTTCCAGACCACGGCTCGTACGGCTTCCTGTGCGATGCTCCTCACCGTCGGGTCTGGGCTCATCAGGAGGCAGAAGGCGTGGGTCATCACCATCACGTCGCACAGGTTATTAAACTGATAAGAACAGATAATGTTTTCACCCATCAGCCAAAAGGCTGAGAAGCGATACTTTATGTTGAAATATTATGCAGACCTCCCATTCCTACAGCTCTCTACGTGACAGTGACACATACCAGCGAGCCACTAATGCCATAGCAATTCTTTGACAACTTCTAATCTAATCATACTTCCTTCACCTAATTGCTCCATTTTCACCATTCAAAGCAAACCGCCTCCTGCCTGAAAATTCAGGTTCAAAACTAATACATTCCTCAAGCTTGTTAGCTGTTGCCTTGTCACTCGTTTCTCTCCCTGAAAGATACTCTCTATTTGCATGAAGCCAGCCCCTTCGCTGCAACGTGCTGAGGACATCGGGTTGTTAACCAGTGGCGTAGCCAGGTCCTAAGTGCAGGGGGAGCAAACCTAAAAAAAGCGCCCCCCTTAGCTCCTCCTCTGGCCACGCCCCTCATTGGCTCCTCCTCCGGCCGCTCAGCGCTCCCCCCCACTGGCTCCTCCGGCCGCACCGCGCCCCCCCCTTGGAGGGGCTCGGTCCGGGGGGAGGGGGCTGGGGATGGGCTGGCGGCGAGGGCTAGCTGGGGCTGGCGGCTCCCCCCGGTGGAGCAGCAGGCACAGCCTTCGGGGAGGCCGGAGGGCTCCTCATGGCAGAGGTGGGGGGAAAGCTGCACGGCTCCGGCTGTGTTCCGGGAACCAGGGCCACCGCCCTGGGGCCCGAGCTGGGCCGGAGCCGCTGGGACCGGGGGTGCTCGGCCGGCGCTGCTCGACTGGCGCAGCTCGGCCAGGGCCGGGACCGGGGCCGGCGCACTCGGCCGGAGCTGCCAGGGCTGGGGCCGGCACTGGGCT